AAGACCAAGTACCGGAATGATTTCCTGGTCCCTGCAAACCCTACCAGCACTAAATTTTGAAATTCAACCTCTCAGGCAGACAGGAAGGATGCCAGTTCAGGGCTGTGTGAGAAGGCAGCTGTTCACACAGCAAGGCCCACTGATCCGTGGCCTGGGGAGGAGGTTTATGATCAAGGCTGAAGCACTGTGGGAGGGAAGCTATGAGACTGTTGGCAGTGATAATCTGCCATATCTTCAGCCTCTATGCTGCTGATGGTCAGTGTGAAATCAGTCCCAGACCCACTGCCAATGAACCTATCAGGGACTCCAGATGCCCGGGTGGATGCCCCATACATGAGCAGCTTAGGAGCTTTTCCTGGTTTCTGCTGATACCAAGCCAAGTAGTTATTACTGTATAATAACAGACTCTGGCTGGACTTGCAGTTGATGGTGACCTTTTCTCCTGCAGACACAGCCAGGGACCTTGGAGACTGAGTAACCACAATTTCTGCACAGCCACCTGCAAACAGGAATGCACATTGTTCTTCCTTCCGGGGGGGCGGGCGGCCGGGCGTTTGGCCGGTTTTCTTACCTTGGTTTTAATTTTTGACTTTTTTCTTAAAATTTTTTTCCTTATTTTTTTTTCCTTTTTTTCTTTTTTCCGGGGTTTTTGTTTTCCAATGGGGATTGCGGAAAAACTTTTTTTGTGGCATTTTCAAATATCTCACCAGACATCCAAAGGAACAGGAGCACCAGGACCTGGGTCTGTGCTGCCATCTTGCTGTCCCAGTCCACTTGAGGCAGCTCAGGTCCCAATTCAGAAGGACTCATTTATTAAAACTGACAAGCAGCCTGGAGGGGCTTATGCAAAGCAATCAGCATAGGAGGAAGCAAATAACCAGAACAGTGGATTATGAAAGCAGCTGATGCAAATCAAGAGTCCAAGTGTAATTGTGCAACTAGAAAACAGAGCAAAGACAATTTACAAGCTCTAAGCTCAATCTCAAAGACCTAAACTACTAACCACTAGATGGAGTAATAGTAGACTTTCAGGGTTAAACAATATTATTAGTTTGACTTTTACAGAAATGATAGGCAAACTAGCTCAAACAGATAGAGTTAAACACAATAATATGATATAAAAAAGCAAAAATATTCAAGAATAAAAAAGAGATGGAGGAGAAGGAAAGAGGAAGGAAGGAAAATTTGGGCAAAGAAAAGATGGGGAAAGGGCTGGGAAGGTGGCTCAGTGGTAGAGTGCATGCCTTGCATGCCAGAGGCCCTGGGTTCGATTCCTCAGCACCATATAAGCAAAAAAGAAAAAAGCCGGAAGTGGAGCTGTGGCACAAGTGGTAGAGCGCTAGCCTTGAGCTGAAGAGCTGAGGGACAGTACCCAGGCCCAGAGTTCAGGCCCCATGACCAGACCCCCCCCAAAAAAAAAGATGGGGAAAGATACAAAAAAAAGTGACAAATTTGTTCTGCAGTTTGAAGTTAGAGGCTCATGTTTCCTCTGTATTTATACTTCTCTGGAGCTGTACCAGTTTAATCATGCCTCAAGTGCACTTTTTTAGGGTTATTTTCGAGATTGATGCAACATACTTTTCTTCCCATATCTGCTTCAAACCTCATCTTCCTGGAAGCAGCACTATGGCTCGAGTGGTACAGAGCTAGCCTTCAGCTGAACAGCTCAGAGACAGTGGCCAGGCCCAGAGTTCAGGCCCCACAACCAACAGAAATGGGGCTGTGACCCAATGGTAGAGCACTAATCTCAAGCAAAAATGAATGGGGACTGCCATCAGGACATAAGTTCAAGCCCTATAACTTATAAACAAAAACAAAGACAAACAAACTCTTCTTCTAGACCTCATCCTCCTGACTCCCCAGGATCAGAGTATAAGTCAGCAGTGCTTGGCTTCAGGACATTTTCTTTCAAAAGCAATCTTAAACCTTAAGCATAAAACCAGAAATAACATTGACCACTCAATGTGCATGTTAAGTGTTCCATTTAACCAATATGATCTCCCTTCTTACTTTTTTATCAAAGGTAATTTGCTGCAATCATTTTTTTCAACTTGAAAAACATTATAGCATAAAAAAAGATTCAAAACTATGCTAGGAACTGTAAACTAGGGGGCCTGCCACAGTACAAGAAAGCCAAAAATACCATGATGGAGGAAGATACCAATTTCAAGGCCAAAAACATGAACTAATGCTCCCAAGACAGTTCTAACAAGTTACTTTTTCCTCTAGATTTCAGAAGAACATTACAATTTTGATTTATAACTGCTCCAAAGATTTATTTTTGCTTTCTTTCATTCCTGTAATATTGTTCATTCCATTTAGACAAGTACAAAATAAGGTTTTAGAAACCCAAAAATAGTCAGCTATATCTACTTTTCACAGTGTCTGGAGACTTCTCTGTTTCTTCTATGTAGAGACATCCACAGAGATGCTTTTACACTAAAAGAAAATGTGACTGACTCCTTAGTTGTTACTTTTTTACAAATCAAGTGTCCATTGTGAGGTGGTATATTACATTGCTTCAATGTGTAAAAGGACCATAAAGTTGCTGATGAAAACAGCACAGATTGATCTCTAAAGGTAAGAAGTCTGGAATTAATGTCCTCCCAGCTCTGACTCAATGCACTCATGGCAGTGACCAATCTGGATGAAGCCTTCGAGAAGTCTGGTCTTACTATCCTGGGACAGTAAAAGACTGCATTCCTTCTTTTCTAAATAAATGAAATTTCTTTGCAAACTGTGGAATTTTTTTTGTCCAATGTGAGCGCTGAACTCTGGTCCCGGGCACTGTCCCTCAGCTCTTCAGCAAAAGGCTAGCTCCCTACCACTTGAGCCACAGCACCACTTTCAGCTTTTGTCTGCTTATGTAGTGCTGAGGAATCAAACCCAGGGCCTCATGCATGTGAGGCAAGCGCTCTATCATAGAGCCAACTTCCCAGCCCTAAACTGTGGAATTATGATTGTGACTGCATAAAACGCTTGACAAGAAAGAATAGACATGTTAAGGAATATTCTAAGACAATTCAGGGAAAAAATTTCCATAAGTGTTCATTACAATTGATGATATCAAGATAGTATCCTCTTTAGAATGCTTTTGGCCAGGCAAGAGTGGATCACTCCTGTTAACTACTCATGAGACTGAGATCTAAGGAATGTAGTTGTAGGCCAAACCTGGCAAAAATGCCCATAAGATTCTTCTCTCCCGTTGACCAGAAAAAAGCCAGAAATACAGGAATAGCTCAAGGAGTAGGATTCCAACCTTGAATAAAAATACTAAGGGGCATTGCTCAGGCCCTAAGTTGAAGCCCAAGTACTGACACAATAAGTTAAAATATGAAAATTAATTAATTAAAAGAAATATTGTTCTGGTACCAGTGCCTTCTAGCTATCTACTCAGAAAGCTGAAATCCAGAGAATTGTGATTATAAACCAAGTTGCGCTAAAAAGTCCATAAGATTCAACAACCAAAAATGGCTCAAGTGAAAAAATACCAGCCTAACAAGTCTGAAAACCTGACTTCAAACCAAACACTACTAAATTTGGAGGGACTGTTTTCATGAATCTGGTATTCATCTATAGATATATAGGTAAATAGATGGGTGCCGGTGGCTCACGCCTGTAATCCTAGCTACTCAGGAGGCTGAGATCTGAGGATCACCGTTCAAAGAAAGCTCAGACAGGAAAGTTCAAGAGAGGCTTATCTCCAGTAAACCACTAGAAGACTGGAAGTGGCACTGTGGCTCAAGTGGAAGAGAGCTCGCCTTGAGATGAAGACTGCAGGGAGAGCACCCAAGCCCAGAGTTCAAGCCCGACGACCAACCAAAAAATGAAAAAAAAGAAGAAGATATATATGGAAACAATAATAACAGAATGTTCACCAGTTTATAAAAACTAGTTCCTAGGATATTTATATACACTCCTAAAAGTGTAATTTCCCACCTTTGCGCTTATCTGCAAGCTGACAATTAGCTCTCTTGTTAAAACAGAAATTCGTTTTTTCCTCCCTTCAGAGTTCTCTTCACATGAGCATCACACAGTTTAATTCACTAACACAAAGGATAAAGCCATTGATAGGTGTTGTTTCTAACATGCTTTGTCCACTTGGCTACTACCAGCAAAGCTCAAGTCTATGCTGCCAATGGTAGGAAACTGAAGGGCAATATTTGGGAGAGAAAAGTTGTTTATTTTCTTAGCTGGGAAGGAACCAAATAGGCACTGCTTGCCTCCAAGAGCCCAGTCTCCACACCTGCACTGCTTTGGATCTCTTTGCTGTCTTAGAGAGGTTGGTCCTTACCTACCTTTCTGCTCCAACAAACACATCCAGACCTTCCATGTGGCCTTTTATTGCCCATTGGGGCAGGCATCATCAAATTATCCTTACTAAATTTTTCCCAATACAAAAATTATTTGGTGCAACTAAGATGCCTCCTTCCATGCCCCTTAAGTCTATCCAAATTGCTGCACCCATCATACAATTTGCATAGTGTTCTCTAGGAGAAGCCTCTGTGCTAAGGCTAAGATAAAAGCTCAACTCTCACCCTAAGTTGACAGATCAGGACTCTTCCCTTCACTTTCTCAAAATGAGATGCCCTGCTCAGCTCCTGGGGCTGCTGATGCTCTGGATCCCTGGTAAGGGCACAGAGAGATGAAGGGGATGAAGAAGGAAATGGGGTGTTCAGGTGGGGTCTGGTGCACCACTGCTGCTGTTGTGTGTTCTGTTCACATGTGAGGTGTGTGGTTCTCATACTTCACAATGAAGTAACAGCAGGTGCTGTTTAGAGCTCTGAGAGGGAGAAAGGATTCAGGGCATCAGGATCTAGATTCTGCTAAAAATTGTTCTTTAGAGTGACATGGTAAGAACACCCTCTGGGTACACAACTTGAAACTGAATATTTACAATTCAAATCAAAATTCAAATAATAATTCAGCACAATGGAGGAAAATTATAAAGCCAGCTAAAAATTTTTATGTGACTCCCCACTTGACTTCCTTCTTTCTAGGATCCAGTGCAGACATCGTGATGACACAGACTCCACACTCCCTGATGGTTGCCCCTGAAGAGCCAGTCTCCGTTTCCTGCAAGTCCAGTGAGAGCCTCCTGCATACCTATGGAAACACATACTTGCATTGGTACCTGCAGAAGCCAGGCCAGTCTCCACAACTCCTGATCTATAAAGTTTCCAACCGATTTACTGGGGTCCCAGACAGGTTCAGTGGCAGTGGGTCAGGCACAGATTTCACACTGACAATCAGCAGGGTGAAGCCTGAGGATGCAGGGGTTTATTACTGCCAGCAAGAGACAAAACGCCCTAACACGATGCTACAGCCCAGAGCAAAAACCTCCCTGCATGTGGCAGCCCAGCTGTGCCCATGTGCTGCTTGCCTGGGGACCAGCAGAGCAGATTCTCTGAGTCTGTGTACAAGGACAAGTTTGGGGAACTCAGAGCCACAAACTGCAACTGAGGTCTCTGTCCCATGGGGGCCTCAGCTATACTCAACGAAACCCCTTTGCTGGTCACCGGCAACACACACCCATAGCATTTGTGACATGAAAGTACAGATGCCCTACAGCACTTCTGGGTAAGTGGAAAAGACTAACTCAAGGAAGTTTCCAGAAAGATTGAAGATGTTTTTTTCAGATTTTCCAACAGACACAGGAAGGTGGTATCCTTGACTTCTAGAAGAGATTTGTGCCTTATCAATTTTGTTCCTTTTCACATTGAGATGTAAATTAAATCACAAACACAAAAAAATGAATTATTGCATAAAAGCAATAAAAAGAAAAATTATGAAAATGCCTTATAATGATTGCACTTAATCTTTCAGTTCTCCTTATTTCAGGATCCAGTGGGGATTATTTGATGCTGCAGACTCTGCTCTTCTGATCCATCTCCTCTAGAGAGCTGGCCTGTATCTCAAGAAGAATCACAGAGGGCCTCCCATAGTGGCTCATACCTATAATACCTACTATGCAGGAGGCTGAGATTGAGATTACAGTTCAATCCCTACACAGGAAAAGGTTTAGCAAGACTCTATTTTAGCAAACAAGCTGGTATGAAGGCACACATCTGTAGTTCCAGCTATGCAGGAGGCTGTAGGTAAGAGGATCTTTGCCAAATCTGAGCAAAAATAAAAGACTTTACCTAAAATATAACTAAAACAAAAAGGGAGTAACGGTGGCATTGCTCAAGTGGTAGAGTGTCTGCAAGGAGGGAAGCCCTTGTTCTAACTGTCAGAGGCGGGGAATAAACAACAGAAGTGAAGTCATCTCTTCTGGGTGGCACTGGCCATCACTGCACATTGCATGGGACATGGTTGCCAATATGAATGCTTCTCAATCTTCACTGACTCAATGATGCCTAAAGACGCTGGGCACAGTCACCAAGTCCTATCACATGTCACCAATCCATCATGAGTGCTTAAGCAAGCTGGCCACAGGTCCCTCGTTATGTACTGTGTATGGAGTGGGAGAGAAGGGCATAGAAGACAGGCCTTAGACCCCTGATGTTGAGGAGTACCACAGAAGACAGCTCGCACTCTGAGAAGGTCAGCAGGGAAAAAAACATAGTGCCAGAAGTAAATCCAAGGCTTAGGACCAGGCACATAAAATGGCATCAGCACCTTGTCACATGGAAAGGACCTGAGGGAATAAAGAGAAGGAAGAAAGTACTATTTGCAAAACAAAGTAAAACAAAAATCAGTTTCCACTATTATATAAAAGAAAGAATAAGGAGAGCTGTGCTGATGGAAAGATTACATTTCCCCATCTAGAAAGGAAGGTATTAAGACATGCACATTGCAATGTATAAATTAATAGATACAGGTAAACTAAAACTGGCTGCACAGACAAACTTGGAGAATATCTTATAGGATTTAAGATGTGTATGTGGCCAAGTAGGGATACTTGGGCCTCTAATCCTAGTCTATGGAGATGCAGAGCAGGAGAATCCTAGGCAAGAGTTCATTCTCCATCCCCACTAGCACTTGCTTTTGCTCGAGTTCTTGGTAATGGATATTCTGAATAACTGAGTAGCCATGGCCCCTGTGAGACAGACACCTCAACTACAACTTGGATGTCACCCAGAGGCTCAGAGCATCTGCCCTGCTGGAACCCAGACAAGCCCCACAGGGGACAGCTGGGCCACTCCACTCAGGGAGGGTTTTGCTCTGGGCTGTACCACACAAGTAAGATATTGTGGACCTTGGAAGCAGCAGTAAACTCCAGCATCCTTAGCAGGGTGGAGATTGCTGATTTCCAGAATGAAAACTGAGCCTGAACAGTGTGGGAATCAAGAGTCTTTTGAGAAGTCTTATAAATCATTTGTCATGGAGCCTGGCCTGGCTTCACATGAAATTGAGTCATTTGCAGAGAAGTGGGTAGATCTGGGGCCTTTATGGTCAGCAAAGCAAGCTATATTCAGAAGGACAGTCACATGCTTTCTCTCATGTGTGCCTGCTAAACCTAAAAGATAACTATGCATATAAACACACAAAGGAATATGGGACATATATGATGTTTGTAATCTATGAACATGTATAATAAACATATGTGTAAATGCAGGATGGTTGGCGAGGATTGAAGGAAGATAAGAGGAATTTTCGGGTGAACAGTATCTAAACCCGTTGCCTCTGGAAAACAGGGTGAAGCAAAGGAGAGATTAACTAGGAATATGGACTTCTGTGTTTGAGGTTTTGAAACAAGAGATCAGGGGCTTAATATTGGAACAGAAATTTATTCAGAAAATTATTGGGTTTAATACTGGAAAATGAAAGAGACCAGAAAAGTAAGTAATAGGATCAAAATAGAAGCATCCAGAATTAAAGAGAGTCACGGGGACAAGAGGAATTGATCTATCCAGACCCACTAAAGACACCAATGCCAGTATTTCAGCCTATAATCCTAGCTACCCCAAAGGAAGAGATCTGAGCATTGCAGTTCAAACCCAGCCAGCCTGGCAAGGAAATTCCATGAGACTTTTATCTTAATCAACCTTCAAAAAAACAAAAGTGGGGGTATGACTCAAGGAGAAGACAACATCCTTGAGGTAAAAAAAAATGAAAAAGCTAAGAATACTGCCCAGGCCTGTATTCAAGTTCTAGGAACAACACGCACAGAAAAAAAGAAATGAAAGAAAGGAAGAAAAGAAGGAAGGAATGAAGAAATGAAGAAGGAAGGAAGGAAGAAAAGAAGGAAGAGAGGGAAAGAGGGAGTGAAGGTACAATGGAGGGAGGGAGGGAAGGAGGAAGATAGGGAGGGAGAGAGAAAGGGAGGGAGGGAGAAGAAAGAAAAGGTACTACAGGCATCTGTAAAGAGAAACTTTATTCAATCAGCCATAAGGTCATTACTAACATTCAGATACCTATAACACAAAAACTCCTAATAGTGTCTCTCAGACAATCTTACCATATTTTTCTATTATCTCCCACAAACAGAAATCCAGAAAGAACAAGTCCATGAATGATTCCTGGTCCCTGCAAACCCTACCAGCATGAAATGTTGAAATGCAGCCTCTCAGGTAGACATTAAGGATACCAGTTCAGGATTGTGTTGGAAGGAAGCTGTTCACACAGCAAGTACTACTGAACCATGGCTGTGGAGGTTTGTGATCAAGACTGAAGCCCTGTGGGAGGGTAGTTATACTACTGTGGACAGTAATAATCTGCCACATCATCAGCCTGCATGTTGCTGATAGTGAGAGTGTAGTCTGCCCCAGACCCACTGCCAATGAATCGCTCAGGGATTCCAGATGGACAAGTGGATGCACAATAAGTGAGCTGTTTAGGAGCCTGCCCTGCTTTCTGCTAGTACCAGACTATGTGGTTGTTCACATTCTGACTGGACTTGCAGTTCATAGTGGCCTTTCTCCTACTGACACAGCCAGAGAACTTGGAGAATGTGTCATTATGATGTCTCCACAGACACCTGCAATCACAAATGGACGGTCATTCATACATGCACACACACTCAAACCTCATCATGTACACATTGAAACACCACTAACATACACCTTCTAATTGTATTATAAGTCAGTATGTTATTCTGTCCATACTGGAGATTTGTCCCGACCCGCAGGACTTCAACCAGGGCAATGAACCTAAGCGAGAAGGAATGAAGGGACAAGAGACACGAAGAAGGACAGCAAGACAAGGATTCTGATCAAGCTGCCAAATTTTATTTTTCACACAAGGGTATTTATATGCTTAGAATAAGGAAGCTTTTTCATTGGGCATAGCAGCTGCAGGATGCTTGCTTAGGGCAATGTGAAAAGGTGGTCAATAGCAGCTACCTGGTCTTTGTTTGGGGCAGGATGCAAAGACCAGATTCTGTAAATAGCCTCAAGAGATGTTCCAGGGAGATAGTCAAGCTTATCATGCAGAGGGACTCCCTGCAGGGCTCCCGACAGAGATTGCCATTTCTTATTACATTTTTTCATTTAGTATTGTAATTATAAAGGTGATTACAGAGGGGTTACAGTTACATACGTCAGATAACAGGTACATTTCTTTCTGGACAATGTCACCCTGTCCCTCACTCTTTCCAAGTTTTTTCCTCTCATCCCCACACACAAGTTGAATAGTTCCACATATTATTTCATGAGTATCACTGCTGCATTTGTTTATACTTTGTCCCTTCATTTCTGTGTCCCCTTTTACCTTCCCAAAGACAGATAAACAAACTAGACAAAAGAACAGAAACAAGAACAAAGAAAAAAATTCTTGCTTCCATTCAAAACATTTTTTCAGTTCTACAAAAGGCACTAAATGCATCCCAGCAAGTAAGTTTCTCACCAGACACCCAGAGAAGCAGGGTGTTGAAGATCTGGCTATCAAGCTCATCTTCTTGCTCCTACCTGCCTGATGCAGCTCCCTGCTCAAGGCAACGTCTCACATATAAAACCTGCACAGCTGAAACAAGCCTCCAGGCACCCATGCAAAACAGTCAGGAAGTAAGGAACCAACTCTGTGGGCAGTGGGCTGTGAACATACCTGATGCAGGATCCCAAGGATACCAACACAGACAGTGTAACTGTGTGACTAGAAAACACTCAGACACCAATTTAGACTTTGTGAGAGCAACTTAGAACCTTTTACACCTTAGACTCCTAGATGAATTAGTGAGGAGCAACTCATAGATAATTTGGAATGGATTCAATATTCCAAAATCACTCAATATCCTAATTGCTAAATTCCTCAGCTTATAAATCTTAAGAAAAACAAATCATGCTGGAAAAAATAAAACAAGGAAGAAGGAAGGAAGTAGGGTGGGAGTAGGGAGGAAAGTAAAGAAAGATAAAAAGGAGAGAGGAAAAGAAACAAGGGAGAAAGGGAAAAAGAGAAAGAAATAGAGAGGCAGAAGGGAGGGAGGGAAGGAGGAAGGAAGAGAGGAAGGAAGGGAGGGAGAAAAAGAGAGAAGAGGGAGAGAAGAAGG